AGCAAAAATGATGACATGTAGTATCAAATTAAACTTAATATCTTCCATCTTTTGATCATGAAATAAATGCTCTATTGAGAGATGTCCACTCATGGGAGTGAAGGAAGACCCCACATTTGTGCTCCTTCCTGTTATAGCACTTCACATACTCCTAAAGACAGTGAGAAACGGCCAGGTGGGCTGGCTTGGGCCATCAGACCTGAAGATGCTGGGCTGCCCATGGCAGAAGTCAAGTCATGAACTTGGCCTTGATGGATATTAACTCTGCGTGAAGCAACATCAGACCCCCAGGACACAGCACAAATCCTTTGCATTTCACTAAGTGCACTGGAGTGTCCTCATATTTCTCACCTTCTAATGTGTAGAGCCAAATGGCTCTTGGTGGACAGGACGTCAGCAAGTATTGTTTTCTCGTATTTAGTTCAATCAAGGAGCTGCACTGTTTGCTTAGCCAGATAATCCGGGAACTCATACCTTGATAAGCCTTACAAGTATGTATCCCTTTGCAGTTTACAAAGTTCTTCAACTATCAGGATATTGAGTTTTGTTTTCCAACCAAGGTGATGAGATGGGAAAATCTTTTTGCTGCCAGAATGGGAAATATGACTTAACGTGGGCTCTGTGTCCACTTCCCTTGTGAGCACCGTGTTGAAAAGAAATGTGACACGTTTGGAAGTCACCAGAAAGGAAAGTCACTGTGCATGGCCGTTGATTATTCTTGTTGTTCTTGGCCCCACAAAGTAATTCCAGGGTTTTTGTTCCATTCTATATTTAGTCATGCCTGTTGTTAAATTAGGAATACTTTTATATCAGTGACCTTTGACATATGGACATTTTTCTGGAGGGGGAAAAAAATTCAAACTTTCACATTAATGTTGGGAAAGTACAGTCCTCAAAAATGTGGCAGTTTCTAAAGTTGGAGCCAGGAACTAACCAGCCAGAAGTTTATATTACAAATAAATCCCATTCAGGATGCCAGGGAAGCATGTCAAGGGTTGACAGTTAAGCTGGCCAAGCTAAAATGTTTCCTGAAAAATTAGAATTCCCAAATAACACAGTACAGCTGTTACCTTCTGAAAACTGGAGGCAAATTGGGTCGGTAATCTCAGGATAAAATAAGAAGTACATCCAAAATATAACTAAAATCATGTGGTTAACAATTTTTCAAAACCTCAAATGATCTCCAGGTTAGGTTAGTTTCTCTCCTTAATCTCGCCCCACATTGATTAATCCCATGGGACGGAGCAAGTTGAACCACATGATTTGTACCAAATTGTATTCTCTACAGCTGTTCCATTGGTTTTTGCCTTCCCATGTGGTTGGCCTTCTCCTAACCCAGGGTTTCTCAACCCTGGTACTATTGGTGGTTGGGGGCCAGATAATTCTTTGGAGTGGGGGCAGGAGGGCTGTCCTGTACATTGTAGGATATTTAACCCCATTCCTGATCTGTACCTATCAGACACCAGGAATTTCCCCCAGATGTGTTTTGGGCAACCAAACATATCTCCAGGCATCACCAAAGGTCCCTTAAGGAAGAGCAAAATCTGCCTCAGATGAGAATCACTGTCAGCCTCTCTATAGCCAGTACAAAGCTCTGCCAAGGCTCAACTCAAGCTTAATGCTGGATGAACATATGATATTATGGTCTATTAAGGCAATATAAGAACAGAGCGAAGAGTAGCAAATTCAAACCACAACAAAGTGATTTCTGGATACAAGAAAAACTTTTCTAGTAGAGAGGATAGTTAATAATGAAATATATTTGGTGCTGTTCTTTGAAATTCTGTAAAAATTAGATTAGAAGATTATCTGTAGGGGGGTGGTTTAGGGGGCAAATAAATAGAACAGAATTCTCTTAAAGTCCTTTTTTCAGACTTGGTGTTTGATTTCTTTCCAATTTAACAAAAAAAGACAAACAGGAAGACATGTGGATGGACAAAAATACAAAGGAAAAGCAAATTGTTTCATTATTTCACAAGAGACGGGTTTTTTTCTCCCCCTTCTTTAACTGAAGAGCTGGGCATAGAGGGAAAAAAATACAAGAATGTGCTGAAATGAGAAACAGTGGAGAATGAAATCGAGAGATTAGTGGATCATTCATAATATAATGATTACAATTAAGAGATTTGCCTAACTGATAAATGGGTTTTGAACACACGTGGTACTAACTGCTCTTCCATCCCTTTCTCTGGAAAGGGATTTACAGTTTGAAGAGCTTTTTTAAATTTTAATTTTAAGTCCTTTTATAAATTTCAGTTTTATTAATCTTCACCATAAATCATGATTCATGAGTGCCGATGCCCGAGGAGCCTCAGGGTGCTCACTTATTACTAACCAGAACACTAAAGATGTGCTACTTGATTGGAGGTGAGTCTACACCTAAAAGACACCCCTCTTTATCTGTGACCACATTTGGGAGCAACACTATAAATACAAATAGACTGTTCAAAGGTGCCCGGCACATGGTTGGTGAGAGGAGCTGTAGCTTTGACTTTCGCAGCATCAGTAGTTCTTAACTCTCTCTAACAAACCCTCCTTGTTTTTTAGATCATGCTGTTTTCCCTCTCCCTTTCTGCTTCACTGGGCCTGTGCTCCCTGGGGCAATTATTTCTGATCCTTTGGGAAGCGCCTGTGTAATCAGAGGATAAGCTCCTTTGCCTCCCACTGGAGGTTTGTTGTTATCAAATGCATGTTCTTTCCTCTTGCCAAAGACACAGAGCCTCCGGGATGGGAAGGGCTTGGTGCTTTCCAGGAATAAAGCCGGTTACCTGCAGAAAGGTTTGTAGAGATGCCACCCCCAGAGAATGTGTTCTACCCACCCCTTCACCATCCCCAGTCTTCCCACCTCCATGAGGACTAAAGTTCCCTTGGTCAGTGCCCCAGAAGTGCCACTAGTGCCCGTCTAGTGGTTGGCAGTGAAGATGTGCACAGCATCTATGAAGTGGGCCAGATGGAGTAAAAAAAAAAAAAATGCTAGAACAAGTCATTTTGGGGGGAAAGCCTGGTTAACACGATGCACGTGGTGAAAGCATTACAAAATGAGAAAGGTTTCCTTTGTCCACACCGTGCCTGGAATCTCAGGTTTTGGGGACACAAAGCAACCTTAGGTCAGCCCCTCACTCACAGCAAAAGATGTCCTAGTTGGCTCAGGCTGCTGTAACAGAAAGAACATCATATACCGCATGATTGCCAAACAAAAAATTGTTGCTCACATTCTGGAGACTGGAAGTCCAAGGTCAAGACACCTCAGTGTCTGCTAGGGCCTGCTTCCTGGTCCATGGGCAGCCATCCTCTCACTGTGCCCTCATGCGACAGAAGGGGTGAGGACTCTCTCTGAAGTCTCTTTAGGGGGGCAGTAATTCTTTTATGAGGGCTCCCCCCTCCTGACCTGGCAAACTCCCAAAGTGTGCACCTCCTGATACCATCACCTTGGAAGTTAGGATTCCAACATG